CGTGGAGTAAAATTAGCATGACTTTCTCCATATTACATTCCTAGATTAGGTTCTACACTCAAGAAAGAGTAAATACATCAACCAATACATAATGCCTCTAAAGAGGAATAGTACTGAAATTAAACAAATAAAAATAATTAATATAATTAATTAATTCAATTATTCTATAGTTGGTTGATGATTTTGTCCTAAAATAATACAACAAGTTTAAATGTTAATGAACCTTCACAACAAATTAACAAATTAACGCATACAAGGGAAATACGCTTTTGGGACAGTTGGCTAATGATCACTGAGTCCTGTTCGAATTTGACAGGACTTGAGTTCAATCTCTGGCACTTGCAGTCTCAAGAAATTGTTAAGGAATAATTAAATATAAGAAATAATTTCCAGACCACTAACAATGGGTATTTTGGTGATACTCGAAACAACTATTTGGTCTGTCAAATTTTCAATTGTTTAAAAATTAATAAAATTTTGTTGTTGCAATTCACTACTGTTCTAAAACCACTTTAGTGAAAGCATTACATTAGGACGAAAGACATCCTCAGGGTTATCAAGATTAAACCCATAAAAAAATACATAAAGGATAGAGCCCTGAAATTTTTTGCGAAAACTGACAGACTTACCAACACCGCGTTATCAAATCTCAAAATCGTTACGGGCTCGTCGAGGATGTATGCAGATCTGAGGTCAATTATTGCTTAGTCTGATGAAGTGATGAACAATAATCCAGTCAAGGTGTAAAGAGGGGTTTTGAAAATACCTCGAGTTAGAAAAGAGTATAAGTGCTTAAGTGCATTGGCTCAAAACAGCTTTAACATAATAATAATAATATATATTTTATATATTATATTAAGTTTCTTTTATCAAAATGAAGATTAAATAGTTCAATCCTATTTAATTCAATTATTATTAATAAATTTTAAATCTCTTATAGTTATAGTAATATCTTTTATTTGATTAGAAATTGAAATAATATAATCAATTGACTTAATAAACAGAACTGTACTTAAGCTTCACTCTATCAAATCTTAAGTATTTCTAAAATAAAAGTTTGCCACCTTTACTGCTTGTATTTTATAGTAAATCAATGACAAAGAAAAATATTTTTTTAAAGTCAAATCTCATAAAAATTCGATTTAAAATAGAAATTCAACAGAAAAGCCAAAAAAAATAAAAATAAAATAAAATAGAATGAATTCAATAGAAAAATCCTTAAAAGTGCGTTTTAAGGATTAAAAATCAATCCATTAACAAAAGCTCATAAAAGGAAAAACCGAAATAATAAAGACACAAATGTCAGAGCGAAGCATAACGAAGGAATTAGCTTGTGTTTTCAACTGTGTAAGTTCACATCGCCAGGACACGTCTTAGCATTGGCAATGCCGCTAATTATCCTAGCGCCGTTGTCAATGCAAATGCCAAATACAAAGCAACAAAATGACAATGGCAATATAACGAGAACTTCATTAAAATGACAAAAAGCAGAAACCGCGATTTCCCACTAAGTACGAGCAGATAGAGCCAATGCTTTGGCTCATTATCGAAGGACTTATCGAAAGTATTTGAATTTTATACTTGCGTATCCTGGCAAGCGCAACGCTTCAGATACGCATTTGAATAGTTTCAGTTTTCGATGAGTAGGTAATACCGGAGCAGGGGTTGGATGGTTTAATTTTTGTGCCAACAGATTTTAAAACACGCACATTTTGATCCTTTCTCGTCAGCTGACATTGTTCATGTCTGTCTTATCGTCTACTTGTGCTCTGACTTATTTCCTTTCAGTGATTTTATGCTTCCTTTCTGGTGTTGTGCTCTGTATTGATGCGAATGTCAACGAATTTTTAACCTTCTTATGGAAAATACTTGAGTGCAATTCAGTGGCGGTGCCTGTCACTGTGACTCTGTCTGCGTCTGTGTCTGTGCCAGTATCTTTGTTTGTTGGTTCCGTAAACGCGTTTGATACTTTCTTCTTCTTATTTGTTACTTTCACTTATCTTGCGTATCTTGCGTATTGCTCTGAGTCTCAGCACTAAATGCTGCTGTTACTTTTATTTGTCAGATTTCGTGTCTGTTTGTTGCACACGCTTCATTAGAATAATTCAATGTGAACCGCTGTCACCAATATCCTGAGAAACTCTAAGTAAATGTGACTTCATGCAAGGATAACTGTTAGTGTCTGCACAACAACAACTTGACTCCTTCGTTGATCATCTCATCAAGTTGAAAAAAAGACACTTTAAATAAATTTTAAAATGTTTTACAATTCTTTTATGAGATTTTCAGTTCAAAAATAGAGTTAATGGTAAACTAAATAAAAATAATATTTGGCTTGAATTGCGGTAAGATACTTTCTTCTCTAAATATTCTTACGGCTTTCATAACTGCTTTCTACACTTCGTCAGCTTAACTCGTGGTTTCTTCTTTGTATTCTGCTGCACAACTGCAGGTTGTGACAACAAAATCCTCGCATATGACAACATGAATAAGTTGCAGTTTTCACATTGGCAATCAAGGATACCAAGGATACCAAGGATATCAAGGAAAGTGTGTTTATTTATTTCTTTGATAGCATCAATTGTCAGCAGAAGTTTATTTAATGTTAATGTTAAGTGTGTTTACTTAAAAGATACTTGAACTTTTAAAAAATGACTGCAAATATGTTCCAAGAATCAGCATAAGTTCAGATAGTTCCTAAGCATATTAGTCATATTTGTAGTAAGTTAGTGTAAATTTCAAAAGACGCTAATGGCATGAGAATTGCAGTAACTACTTTGTTATGTAAATAGCATGAGAATTAATTAATCACATATAACTACACAAATTTTTTAAAAGAGAGAAAAGAGAAAAATCACTTCATTGAGCTGCTGAAATACTTTGCTTAGTCGAATACTTTCATAGCATATAAATAACTCAACTTTTGTGAATCACAACAAAATCGCTTCACAGCGTAGTCGAAGAACTACTAAGAAAATATCAAACAGAAATCATGAAGAATAACACTCAGTTCAAGACAAAACTAGAGAAAACTACAACTGTTTCAGTTTCCCAACGATTCAAATTCTGATTAGCGTATTTATATAATACATATAAACAACTAACAAAACTTGGTGTCTCTTCGGTGGAACCTCCTATCTCAATCCTTGCTCCTGCCACTCATAAACGTAACTTGACATATAATTACTTCAGCCACATACAAACGAAACTTGACAAATGATGACTTTTACTGACAGGCTAACAAGAGTCGGGCTAATACTTCTTTAACTGCTACTTCAAGCATAATATAACATACCCACCTCAAATACAAAATCTTTGACTTCATCTACAGGAGTAAGACGGGGGACTCAAAGATAATATCGGTTCTTACTGGAACCTGAACTATAAAACGACATAAACCCAGGCTGGGTCTGGCTTAACAAAACTCATACTTTATATATAGAACCCCTGGCTTATTCCATGGGAGCAAGTGGGAGAGTCTAAGACAAAGTCGATTTTTTACGGAGCACTGGACTGCAAAAACTCATACTCCAAGTGTAGAATCACTAATTTTATCTTCAAAGCAAGCCGGAGATGTCTAATTTAAATCGGTTCTTACTGAACCCTGAACTATAGGCCTGGCTGTGTCTGGCTAACCAAAACACATACTTTAAAACTATAATTATTGGCTTAATCCAGGGGAGCAAGTCGGAGATGTCTAAGACAACAAGACATTGGTCTGTAGCACGGCATGAAATGAGGGTAGGTCTAGCTTGATAAAAACTCTAGTAGATCGTAGTTACCAGTGTAAGTAGAAAAAATACCATTACACCTGTTGTGTCTGTACTCAAGCTTATTTAAAACCAGGAAGAAGCTTTTGAGTTAAATTTATATTTGCTCTTCCTTGCACCTAAACTACTTGTTGTCCATGTGTTATTCTTGTTAAACTATTTGTTTTTTTCCAGATATAGCTTTCAGGATCTGAGAAATTTATTATCATTTGTTATCTCTGCTATAACAGTGAAGAAATGATCTCAAATGCTTTGAAGTCGCTTTGTCCCTAGTCCTCTCCAAAGACATAGAATGTTTTTAGTGAATTTCAATGGATTTTTATTCTTCGTAAATCTGACCTAAAGTTCTTATTAGAGTTCATGCCCTTCCTTTGTAGGTAATCACACTCAAAACTAAATATTTTGCATAAGCGATAAAGTGCAATCATCATCTTTAATGGCGCAACGATACTAGCTGTATCTTGACCTCCCTGATAAAGTGCAACTATAAACGGAAGTAAATTCATAAAAATGGTATTAATTATTTTTCCTAATACCTCAAGAAGATGCAAAGTTATATTTTTAAACATAACTATTAATTATATTAACTATGAGTATTTCATTTCTTAATAATCAGTACAACTGATAAAAAATATAATGAGCACACATAGTAACATTATTTAGCTTAACAGTTCTGTTAGCAATTCTGTTAGCTTAACAGTTCTGTTAATAACTGCATGCACGATTAATAGGCGCGAAAATAATAGCTGCTATATAATTATTAATATTTTATTTTATTTACAATGAAAATTTTATTAAAAAACCTGGAATTTTTTGCAATTGTGATACATTTTATTGTTATAATAAATATGTAAAATATATAATAATAATTATATTATTTATATATGTATATTCATTATATATCGAACTTTATTAAACTTCACACAAAAGCTTTACATTATTTGGAAATATTTTATATTTTCTTACTAACGAAGTTTAATTATTCATGCGCTCAATTGGTTAAACTAGAAATTAATCTCAAACTGTTATCAGCGCTTATCTTATCAGTGTAATAATTTAGTCTATACCGTATCGAGGCAGCAAATACTAACAGGTGAGTAAGCTGGACTAGTATTTAACAAGATTTGAATGGAAACGTGCGGGCACTACGAAAAACGAGTAAATTTTTAAAAAAATATTTAGAAAAGATATTTTTTGAGTTCAGAACTACTTGAGTCATTCTTTATATATTAAAATGTGATTTTCCAGTTGATAAATTTGGTATCAATATTAAAAGTTAAAATTATAGAAAAATAATAAAATTGATTATAAGTTAAAATATCCAAATATAAAACTGAAGACGTAATTTCAGACCGGGAACAATGCGATTTGCGTGCAATTCGCTTTGATTGATAAGAAATTTTCCGTTTCGATTGCACTTTCAAAATACATTGAAAGGTAAACTTACTGCCAAGTGTAAAAATTAATAAACATAATCTTAGCAATAAACTTATCAGCTAAACTAAAAATAAAAATAATAAAAAAAACTACAAATGTGTAATTAATGATGTCATCAAATGATTAAAATATTTATATAAAATATTTACTATCTGCAAGAGCTTTTAACTTTGAAAAATAGTTTTCAAAATATATATTGCCCCCTCCCATTTTTAATGTTCGCTTTTTAAATAGATACTGCCAAGTGCTACCAAATTGTTATCTATATTATATACACATTAAAATGTAAATAGTTTGAGTAATTTGAGGTTATTTGGACTATAAAAGTAGCTTCTAGAAATACGTATAAAAATACTTCTGAATATTGATACAGAGTATCTCAAAAACTAACAGAAAAAAATTATTTGTATATCAACGAATTTATTTATAATAAAAAGATTACTTGAAATAGAGTAGAGAGGTTTCGAATAGTAGTGAATTGGAACAACAAAATTATTATTTGTTTTTTTATTAATTAAATTTTGCTGCTTTAGAGTATTAGCAAATACCCATCATCAAAGGTTTTGGAATTATTTCTCATATTTAATAATTTGTAAATAGTTTTTAAGATTGCAAATAAAAAGGGTTGAACCCTACCAGATTTTTTAGCTCAGAGGCAGTGAGCTTTGTTATATTTGTCTCTTTTTTAATTCTCGACTTATCATATATATTTTATCAATCAATATTGCTTGGAATAGCCAATGGAAAAATTTACGTAGGCGATGTCCATTTACCAATAATATCAATTGCTCAACAGTAATGCAATAGGACCTTTATAGTGCTTATAGTTTATAATCTTTATCACTAGATCATATGTTTTCTTTACCATATTTCGAGTAGTTCCCTGACTTCGACGTAATAGTCACTTTACACAATTAAAGAGTAAAATTAGTAAAAACGATTCCGTGACTTAATTCAAGCATGACCGTAGCATGAAGTGATGAATAATATCAGAAACCATTCAGCTGGTAATGGATGATGTCAATATGACTATGTAGCCCACTTTATCTTTGTTTAATTAGAAATAGACTCAGAAATAGTTGGAAAAAAGTTGAAAGCAAGGCAGAGAATGGGAAGAACAGAGAAATAAACCAAAACATTTGTTGGAATATATGAAGTTTATTATATTCCCGGTAATAAACCAATAGAACCTCTAACTTTTTGCTTTTGTTTAGAAACAGAAGGAGAAAAAGTGAGAAGAAGGAAAGAGAATGAAATTATAAATCTAGAATTTGAATAAAAATATGTTATGTTGTTTCTACTCTCAGTAAAAGTTATCTCTTTCAGAATCCTTCAGAGTTTCACTTGATGGCTTACCTTGTGATATCACGCTTAGTTATGCTTTGATTGGATATTCTCTGGAATAATTCATTATGTTTAATATGAGGCTTTCAACAGGAAATATTTAATATTATTTCAATATAATATACATTAAGACCGAAAAGTTTTCGGAAATTCTCATTTAAAATTCGCGCGCTGTATATTTTTCGATATTTTAAGTTTATGTAGTTTGGCAGCACTGTCCTTAATTACTATGCCAAAAATGAGCGCGATCTGTCAGACAGTTCGTTTACGGCAGCTGTTGAAACCAGTTCACCTCAGTAGGGCGTTGCGAAAAAAACAATGGAAAAAAATATTGAACAAAGAGTTTGCATCAAATTTTGTGTTTCGAACGAAATTTCGTGTGCAGAATCGTTGCGAATGCTACAAAAGGCTTATGGGGAATCAGTTTTATCGAAAACTCAAGTTTATGAGTGGTACAAAGCCTTCCAGGACGGTCGTACGACCGTCGAAGACATTTCGCAACGCACTACTGAGGTGAACTGGTTTCAACAGCTGCCGTAAACGAACTGTCTGACAGATCGAGCTCATTTTTGGCATAGTAATTAAGGACAGTGCTGCCAAACTACATAAACTTAAAATATCGAAAAATATACAGCGCGCGAATTTTAAATGAGAATTTCCGAAAACTTTTCAGTCTTAATGTAAAGTAATCAAAATTAGATTGATAAGTTAAAGTAGTAAAAATTATATATTCCCTTTCTTTTTTCCTGCAACTCGTCGATATTTTCTTTATTTCCGATACTTTATTCATTTGGCTTTTTACTGCTTCTGTCATTACCATAGTTTTTATGTTTGACGTAGTATGTGTATGCATTTATGTGCAGGTATGAATGTAAGTAAATATCAAGTTCGCTGAAAAGTAAATTAATTGTTTTTAAAATATTTATATTTATTATTAATGTTAAAAACAACAACATAGAAGTAAGCGCTAATTAATTTGTTTATTTATAAATAATTATTTATATTTTTTTTTCTAGAAGTCATGTTCAATATTTAATATAGCTAAATCAATTAATCAGCTTTAACATTTCTTGGTAACATTTGCAAGGGCGCTAATCGCTCCATATCAGTTTTAATTCAATATCTAATTTTTGTTGTGACAAAATATTTTCCGGTAACCAAAAAGCATAGACTTTCTTCTTCGTATTTACAAAAAAAAAAAAAAAATTATTTAACAAAACCCATGGCATTTGGAAAATGAGTAACATTGACAGTTGTGCTTGATTCATGCTTCAGAACTTTCTTCTTCTTCTTTTTTTAATAAAATTTATTTACGAAATATACGCAAATTATGATAGAAAAGCTTATCAGTGATATTGTTGGTTTAATTGATAATTAATATGAAAAATGTTTGTAAATAATTATTTGGTTAATTTTGTGTAATACAGAGTTCGAAATACTTATAGAAAAAAAATAATTTAATAAAATTTGTGCAAATAACAAATTCATTTTCTTATTATTTAACTGAAAATATTTTTTCAGAAATTTTCTATATAAATTTTTTGAGAAATTTATATGCTTCTATTTTTTAGTGCTGTTAGCTTGCACTTTCTTTTGAACTTATTTTCTCATATATATTTCTACTTAATTTGATTTCTTTCATTTAACATGTTGCATTGTGATCCACGCTGTTCATTAGCACTTTGTTTATTTTATGCAGTTCAATTTAGAGAAGAATCCCGGAATGAGGTTCCAGCGCTTGTGAAGCAATAGAAATGTCTCTGTATAAAAATTTTTCGGAGATAATAAGTATTCCACCTATGAAGTATGTATAGTCCTTGTATGGTTTTGTTAATAGTAATGTGTTGATATATTTATAGGAAATTCTGTGTTAAGTATCTTGTAGAAGGAATGATCTGAGGAAGTGTTCTATAAAGTAAGTTTGTATTTATTGCTAATCTACTGTTAATGATTGGAAATATAGAAGTTATTACCATTAGTTCGAGTTAAGTAAACCTCTGTCGAACTCTTTAGATATATGTATTATCTTTATTAGTGATCAAAAGTACGCCATTGTACAATTACTGGAGTTTTAGTTAAATATTTTATATGGGATATAGTGGTTTTGTTTTACAAAAGTAGCATATAATCACCCATATAGTATGCATATAGCTTTCAGCTAATCTTTTGAGTACTGGAATATGCAGCACATATACATAATATTGTATGTCATAACCTCTTTTTATATCAACTCTTTAATATTTTCGTATTGCTCCCGTGATTTCCATAGCAACGGCTGAGTTGAAAATTTATATCAAAAAAACTCCATATTTCTCAACAATTAATATTAGCAACAAAACGATTTAGTTGAAAGATATCACTTCTGACTTCATTACAGAGATCGTTATAAGTTATTGCAACTTGGATGTTACCTATTACTCTGAACTGATTACCTAGTTTAAAAATTATGAAGCTACGTGACTCTCTATTAAGCTCAATTAATGCTTACTCTGTCAGAAACGGATCAGTTACAAGTTTACTAGGTCACTTGTTAAAGAATTATGATAGTATAATGGAAATACTAGCTATAGATTTTTATTACCTTGTTACCTGATATAATATTTCTATTATTTTATATATAATATACCATATCGTTTCATTTGACATTGCATTATCCAACGACTGCGCAATCCAGTTTGAATGTATAGTCTTAAAAAAATTCTATGAATGATTAGAAAACAAATAAATTTATAATAATATTTTCTGTAAAAAGACTTTAGAAGCTTTAACGGAGCCATTTATTTTCTTGTATTTTCATATATATAAATGCAAGTATGCAAGTATTATCTTTCATACTAAACAATCTACCAAATAAATACCCAGTACTGGTATCAGTAAAGTGAATGAACACATACACTAACCCTTCCGCTTTCACAAAATAATTGATAACAAAAGATTATGTCGATAAGTTTTTTGTTTATTTAACAAAAACAAAAAAACAAAAAAAAAACATTTTGTGTATATATAAATAAATTATTATATATAACTTATGTGTATCTGAATACATCTTCGTAAAAAAATTTAACCCACATTCACGCATATTCCGAAGTTCTCTTATCAAGCCGTGATATATTGTAGATGTGTTTGAAAATATTTACCGATGGATGATAATTAGTTAAATCCAATAATTCGACTATTCCAATAATAAATTTATTTATAACAAAGTGAATAAATATAAAAAAAACTTTTTTAAAATTATTAGAAGTAATTTACAATGAAAACATTCAATTAAACAATATAACATCTAATAAAAAGTAAGGGAAAACTTGTAAATAATAATTATTATTTATATGAGAAACTCTCAGAACTTAAATACACGCTTATCTTACAAAGATAAGTATTTTCACTTTTATTATATATGTTATTATATTATGTATTAACTTATGATATATTTGAATTATGATAATAATTTTAATATAATACTTCTCTCTTTTAATATATAATACCGAAACCTTTTAGTTACACATCTTTAGTTCCTTTGGACCTCAGCTTTAAAATTTATAAAGCAAAATAATAATCAAACAGTAGTGAATTGCAACAACACATTTTTTTATTATTTTTAATTAATTTGATATATGGCTGACCATATAGCTGTTCCGAATATTGCGAACAAGCCGTCATCAGTGTCTTGGAATACGGCTTTGGGTCAGTTGGCTAATAAACACTCACTCTTAGCTTTAAATCTAACAGGTTAAGAGTTCAACCTTTGGTATTTGCCATCTCAGAAAGTTATTTACAAATAACTGAATATAATAAATAGTTCCAAGACCACTGATGATGGGTATTTGGCAATGCTCTATATTGCAGCTCTATGGTTAGCCAAAAATTAAATTAATTAAAACAATGTAAAAAGAACTTTTGTTGTTGTAGTTCACTACTTTTCGAAACCTCTCCATTAATTAAATATAAAAAAAAAGTCGTTGTTGTTGCAATTCACTACTCTTCGATAAAAACCACTCTACTGAAATATTAAGAATTTAGTTTATTTCATCAAAACGAGTGTTGAAAATCAATTAAATAGCAAAATAATTATTAAACGATAAGGTCAACTATTTTTTTTCCTTTTTAAAAATAATTTAATACAATAACTTTTCAATCTATATCCTTTTTTCTTTCAGTATTTTTATGATTAATCAGTCATACCATTTTCGCTTTAATCGATTCCTCACCAACGATGAGGTCGCAACAGAACAAATTTTTATATAAAATTCTCATTCTTATCATCACTGCAACATCACTCTCTACGGTTGCTGCCGTCAACTGTCCGCAGAAGTGTAGGTGTTCCTGGGTGCTGGATAGCTTAGAAGTAAATTGTGCACATCAACAGTTATCGGAGTACCCCAACTTCAGTGATCTGCCCATACAGCATTTGGACTTATCACATAATCTTTTTGTGGAATTTCCAACATATTTAGCCGATATCGAATCACTCATTTCATTAGATTTGTCCAACAATAACATATCATATTTATATACGGATGCACTTGTTGGCTTCTCATCACTACGTACGCTCATCTTGGCTAATAACAGCATTAACAGTTGGGAGGACATAAACCCAAATGAAGTTTTTCTGAATGCAATTAGTCTAAAACGATTAAGTTTAAGTGGAAATCTTCTGTACACTTTCACAGCAGATGATGAGCTGTACACACTTGCCAGCGAATCAATTAATGTACTTGAGTTAGAGAAATGTGGTATAACAGATGTCAACGGTGACATACTCGTCAATAGTTTACCAAATCTTGAGCGTTTGGGTTTATCTCATAATTCCATAAACTCGATTCCCACATTACCATCGCGAAGTTTGCGCAAATTGGAGTTGAACAACTGCAATGTGCAGCAAATCAGTTCCAACTTACTCCGTGGCTTACCCAATCTAGAGAAGCTACATTTATCAGGCAATACAGCCATTCAGTTGGATGACATCACATCAGATTCCATAACAGAGATCGATATTAGCTATTGTAACTTAGATATTGTTAATTTGAACGGATTACCTAGTTTAAAAATTGTGAAGCTACGTGGCAATCTATTAAAATCGATCAATGCCAAGTCTTTCGCCAACAGTACACAATTGGAAATGATAGATCTCTCCAAGAACAATCTACGTCTTATCGAAAATGACACTTTTTCCAAATTGAAACATTTAACGGCACTCGATTTGTCTTACAATGAAATAGCACGATTGGATCGCAATCTATTCCGCAGCAACGATATTCTAACTACATTAAACCTCAGCCGAAATGTTATCGAAAGACTAACGAAACTCATTTCGAACTCTTTGCGAGACATCAACTTGAGTTGGTGCGAAATACACGCAATCGAAACTACAGCGCTTTCTGGTTTAACTACGATACAACGCTTGGACTTATCCAATAATCTCCTTAGGGATTTTCCAGGTGGCATGCGTTCCGAAACTTTACAACGACTTAATTTAAGCAACTGCAGGTGAGTTCTCTTAAGATAATATACATCATTTAAGTAATGTTTGGTTTCCTCTTTCCCTCCATAGATTATCTGCAATACGCAACAGTACTTTCCGTGACTTTCCGGAGTTGGCATCACTGCACTTAAATGGCAACCGTTTTACCAATCCCTTTTCAGCGAAATATTTTCGTTCAAATAAATATTTGGATGCAATTTGGGTGGGCGATAATCCCTGGATTTGCAACTGTCATGACACTGAATTTATGGACTTTTATGATTACCTAGTAACGAAACCACAGAAGGTATCCCTTCTTCATTCAGGGCTTTATTTTAAAGAAATTAATAAAGTATATTTTTTTAGTTACAAGATAAAATAAGTCTACGCTGTGCATCTCCTTCAGTGTTGTATGGTCAGACCTGGGAAATGTCCTGTGCCAATGTTTGGCTGCCAAGACAACGCAACAGCAGTGCCGAGAAGGTTTGGACTACCATTTTAACGAGTATTATGGTTATTGGTGTATTGATATTTTGTTTCACTTGTTTTACGAAATACATGAGGAAACGCAAAGAAGAGAATGACGTCAACGAATACCGCCAAAACCAAGAGGAAATGATGGAAATGTAAGGAAATATTCAATTTAATTTTTATATTTATGATAATTGCTTTAATAACTTCACCTTAGACGTCGTCTCAACCAACGCATACTAAGTGAAGAGGCTTCATCGACTGCAGCAAGTCTCCGCACATCAAATCTGCCTTCTTATGAAGATGCGCTTCTCATGCCAAAGCCGGAACGTCCAATCAAATCTATGTGGGACTTGACAGCTGCGAGTAGATCACGCAGAAAACTACATCGTACACCAACTGATCCTGAAGGTGATCCCGAAGATAGCGATCTTCTTTTAGACAACAGACAACGTTTTCGTAGCGAAGAAATGCTCTCTAATCGTGCTAAAGAACGTACAGCACAAATTGAACCATTTCGACGTACTGGCCGTATTGAGCACAATCCTTCCGGTAGTCGTCGTTTTAGCATAGAAGACTCACGCTTCCCAGCTGCTCATCTAAAATCACAAAATCTGCAGTCAGCAGAGAAAATCGGTAATTTCCATGGTTATGATTATAGTCCATATACCAAAAGAAAACCGAAAATTGCCGAAATTCCACCTTTTAAACGTGCTACGCTCTTAGCAGATAGTGTTGAATTTTTAACTGATCCTGAATTTGACGTAAATAGTAAACCTGGTAGTCCATTCGCACGCCGTAAACCCAAGCCATCCGTTTCATCTATTGGTGATGACTGCAACGTGAATATATATGCCAATAGCAGTGCTATAATGCTTGCGCCAGCCATAGAAAACTACTTCGCACAAAAATCCAATTCGAATTCGCCTGAAGGAAGCGATTTTCATGTTGTTGTCGAGCCCGATATGACCTCTCTGGCAGAAGCAAATAGTTCGTCTTCTTCGATGTTGGAGGGTGAGCGAGATTTGGAGAGGAGCAAAAGGAAAAAATTGAAAAATTCTAGTAGTAGACGTGCAAGTGGCAATTTTAATGCAGCAGCAGCAGCTGCTGATGGTGATACTTCCTCCTCAGACAGAGAGCCAATGGTGATTGTGCACAAGCCAATGCGAGAGACTTTATTCTAAATTAATTTAAAAAATATAATTAACCAAACTGCTTTAAAAAGTTTAAGTTTATTTGTAAGATTTTAAATACATTTACAAATTAAGTTAGAATTAAACTAAGTCACATGTATAATCGTTATTATTAAAATATTTTATTTATAAAGACATTGTTTAGTCTGCTTTCAAACGATAGTACTTATCGTCATATCCATGAAAATAAGGTAAGCTGCGGTACCTTAGAAGTACCGTAGACTTACCGCTTAAATATAGGTTATAATAAACGGCTAGCTTTAAGAATCCACTGGGTTAATTGATATTACGACAAGCAGGTATAACTGAAGAATTTTAATGGAGGCTTACTGCCAGCCGTTAGTCTAGAAATTGTACGAAGCATCAGTTTTTCCAACAGATGTTATTTCGCGCTAAGTATGCAGTTAAGAAATAAAGCCTTTTCTCGACTAAAAAAATCAAACTCCACGAGTCTCTTATCATGTCTTGCTGTATGACGCACAACCTTCTCACTACCAACTGTGATTGGAAGACACTAGGAGTATTCGAGAGAAAAACTTTGGTTACTTACTGCATAGATTAGAAGGCATGATGATCTGTACAAGCTATACCGTGACATTGACATAGTTAAGCGCATAAAAATTCAGCAACTTCGCTGACTTGCTCATGTCGTACAAATGGAAGAAACTGCTCCGGCTTATGAAGTGTTTAAATCGGTAATGGCTAGTAGAAAACACTGATGACACTGGGTCATACCAACCGATGGCAGTAAACCACTGATCGAATTGACTGGCGGAAGATACTAACCACAACCAAGGTCGACTTACATTTGTAATGACCAACTAAGTGATAGTAAGTAACTACCATAATTAATAGATCGTACCCACAGTATATATTTTTTGCAGGTCATGCGTTCTGGTTGCACTTAATAACAATTTTGTAGTACAGTACAGTACAGCTAAAAACCGTTCATCTTATTAATTGTCTTCGATAAATATTTCTGTGTGTTCACAATAGATACTAAAGCTCTTGTCCCTCAAAGCATAGCATTTACTGTATAGATGGCATTACATCCTCTAAAATTACGGTATTTACAAAAGTTAACCATTTAACATCATATACGATATTTGTACTATAGATAAGTTTACATTAATATTACATCGGCAGATGGCAGCACAACCATTAAAGTTCGGTAAATAAGCTTGTAGATACATGTCTTTGCTAACACTACTTGTGGTCGTATGTGAATATTGTGAATTATAAAATAACTAATTCACAATAGGCATTATGTAAATTGTAGACACAAACCAACATTTATGAAGCATATTTTAAACATAGATGGCGCTCAAGAATTTTTTGTTATTTACAATAATAAAAACATTTTACTCTTTACTCGTTCGAAAAGCTTTAAACTTTAGTTTTAATTTTTGTTCTTAATGTACTAAGACTCTCTACATTGTTTTCTATTGTAAATTCATTTCAATGGGTACTGCTCTAACTGCTGTTTTGATTTCAATAAGACCATACCACTGTAGGTAATTCAACATCATTATTATATAGTATCTATATATAAAATATATAAACAGGAATATGGAATTCATTATTTTGACGTACCTTCAGTTCATTCTTAGATCACTCTTATTTATTTATACAATTTATTCAAAATCATATAGATATTTTGGTTATAAAATATTACTTTCAGTTGGTCATATTTATTTTTTAATCACTTAATTATTTTAATTTGTTCAATGATAGCAAAATGTTAGTGATTAAATCCGCGCTTTTATTGTAGTCCATGATGTTTGTATCATCAGTAAATAAAGATAGTGGGATTTTTCCGCAATTGGAAGGTGGACTGTGTATAAATTGTATTAGATTGGAGTTAAAGGGGAGCTCTGTGATAGTCTCTATTATTAAAGAAACTACTGATGAGCTTGACTAGTCTATTTGGTAGCCTATAATTACTTAACTTGATGATAAGTCTAGCGCGTCACACTTTATTAAAGGCTTTAGCAATGTCCAGCATTTCCATTTTTATTGACTTTCACTCACTTCAACTCTTTTGTGTCTTTATTGTAGACTTTGGTAATCTCAAACAACATCATCATTACCGTTGACTTTCTCTCTCTCCCCATGCTCTTTGTACCATTTGCTAGATCCCTTCTGTTTATAAGTCAACCCAGTAGTTTGCCATGAGCTCAAATTGCTTAACCCTCTCTGAGATTAAGCCTTCTTAATTGACTGATTCTTTTCAACTAATTAGCTATGTAGTACTTTAGTGTATTCAAAATAAAATATATGTATATACTATTTGGCACTGGATTTGGTGTATAGTTTTTGTTAGTGTAAGTAATGTAAGAAATTTACAACTTTAAGTCTAGCTACCGTATAATATAATGAAAACAATAACTGAGAATAGTTGACTCTTCTATTATTAGGTCTTGACAAAAAATTTACAACTTCAAGTCTCGTTACCTTGAAAAATAATCCATATAATATAGTGAAAACAATAACTGAGAATAGTTGACTCTTCTGATATTGAATCTTGTCAAATCGGCGTATCAAGGAAGTCCCGGTAAGAACATAGCCCACAAAACTCTTTCTTTCTCTATGCATTTCTTTTATAGTTCGTTCCCATCTTTAATCATAATATAAAGATTAATAATTTATTATAACTGTGCCATATACATAAACACATGTTAGTATATCTTTACAAAAACTTGATTAAAAAACATTTTATATAAAATTTTAATTATTTTTATTTATTTATAATTCATCTCTTTTAGCAGAATATAATACATAAACAACAAATGTAAATTATAACTACAATTATAGGATATTCCATTGAAGTATTTCAAGCGAAAAACAGAAAATAAAATAAAATGAAATAAGTCAATTTTTATTATTAAAAATATTAAAATTAATAAAATTAATAAAAGTATTAAAAGTATTTGAAAAGGCAGCTTATAATTTATTAAAAAATTTTTTTCAGTTAGAATTTTATTTGAATAAAAATATTTCACTGAGGAAAATAAAAGAAATTATATATAATTAATTAGAGTTCGTATTTTCTAATAAAAAGAAAAACAATGACTTTGGTATTAAACTAAAATTAAATAATTTAAATTATTGATTAACACATAAAGTTGTCTTATGCGAAGTGAAAACTAAACAAAATATACATTTTCCTTCCTTTTCTTCCTCTCGATGTTTGCTATTGTTTTCTCTTTCTATAATTATAAGTAAAATTTATAATAATTGTTTTCCTAAGTATATATTTGCTTTAATTTATAACTAAAATACTTAAATAATTATGCAAACATTCTATTAAAAATTATAAAAATTACATTTTGCATTAAAATACATTTTAAACACATATTTTACATATATAAAAATGTTTTTACTTTTTTTCTATTATTTTTTAAACCTATCACAATGTTGTTTTCTTTATATATTTACTTAGTGTTGTTTCAATTTTATAAAAAAAAATTTCTTTTATAATAAAATTTAATAAAAATATTTGCAAATTTTATATATTAATTTTATTTTTTAATTTTATTTTTTTATATTATTTTTTAATTTTATTTTTTAATATTATTTTTTAATTTTATTTTTTAATATTATTTTTTAATTTTTTTTTATATTATTTATTATTATTTATTAGTTATTATTATTTATTTATTATTTATTATTAATCAACATTAATTATATTTGTTAATGTTTTAATTCTTTAATATTTTAATATTTTAATTTTAGTAAGTTACTTTTTCCATATTTATTTAAGAACATATAGATTTTTTTCATTATAAAATTTTGCTTCTTAACGTATACACAAGTCAACAAATCACTTGGTCAAATTTAGTTTAATTACTTAATTATTTTAATTATGTTAATTATTTTTATTTTGTTCAAAACGCATGTTAATTTATGGAAAATGAACAAAATTAATTTTCGAACCTGTCGTTAATTGTCTAAGGCACATTTAATTGGCACTCATCGAAACTGAGAGCTTGAATGGAGTTGAAGTTGAAAGTAGTTAATTAACGCTCATATCCTTTCGTCTTGATGGTAGGATGAAGACATCTTTTGGTATAGGAACTTTGACTTTAAGGAGTTCAAGTAAATTTGTTGAATTTATAAATTTATTGCATAGAAAGTAGAGCGCTAATAGTTAGAAAATTTGTTAATTGTAAGTAACGTTAAACGTATATTTTTACATAGGTACTCTTCCTCCCCGCCATTACAACATTAATCAAGTTAATTGTTTAATTAAAGAGCGTAAAAAAATATGAATCCAAAAATAGTATAGCAAAAAAAAATTAAATTTTTTTTGTTTTTCGGTATTTTAAGCACCCTTCACTTCATTCATCAAATCTTCCTAATGGTCTACATGCCCATTTACGACACCGCCCACATGTACCGCGGGCATCACTGAATCTGTTACGGGAGTTGTTACAAAATCGCCTGCATTCGATTTACTGCGTGTCACTAACATCGGAGTTTTAGGTTTAGGCGTTTCAGTCAGTTTTATCTTAACACGTCCCGTTTCGGGTGAGTAGACGGGTGAGTAACGTCCAGATTTGGGTGATGAGGGCAGATATGCATCGTCAACATTATTATTATTATTATTGTTATTGTTTTCATTGGCTGGATATTGTGCGTATTTGGAAGCGCGTGGCGATTTCGGTGTGGGATAACGCGGTGTTATTGGATAATATTGATGTGGCGCATTTTCGTTCAGTGGTTCGTTGATTTTCGGTATAATTTCTTCATCGGCTGGTGATGTTGTTCCATTTGTATTGCCATTTCCATTGAGCAGTGGTTGTTGTGTGTGTCCATCTTTAACATCATTCGAATCGTAGGGTTTTTTATCTGCACCATTTATTGGTTTCGCCATATCGGATTTGGATTTTTCACCAATTAAAGGCATTTGTTCGTTACCGTTTCGTTGCAAAGGTTTGCCAAGATTCTTCTTGTCCATATCTAGCAATTCTGTTTGTCGTGGATTTTCTGGGTCATTTGCGTTATTCTTGTTTTTACAGCGCTTGATGCCCACAAATAGGAAGAGTCCAACAACTATGAGTACAATTACGCCTAATAAGAAGTAAGTAGCATTATTGTCATCCTGTGCGCCTACTTCTGCACGTTCTATATTTTCAGACTTTGTTTCTGTATCAATTCCATCATCAATTATTGCGGCATCAGAGTTAGCTTCAGGTGCTGCTTCTTCTGCGTGATATATAGCAGGTACAATGATTTCCTCATCTACTCCATCATTAGTTTTATCATCGTTATCTTCAGCACCATCAAATATGCCCATACCGGCGCCAAATATATCTGGAGATTGTGTTGGTTCTACTTGTGGCTCCTCTATCGGTTTATTATCAAAGCTATCATCATGGTTGCTGTCATGATCTTTCTCATTACTTGTTGGGTAGTGGAAGTCATGATTAACGAGAGAGTCTCTATCTGAGTGTAGTGCGATAAGAATTCCTGCACCACTACCAGAGCCATCATCTTCATCTACGTCATCAATCATTTCAGTTGTTGCCTCAATTGGATTATTTGTACTCAGTTCGTTTCTTAATGGCATATTCATTTCACCCAAGTCTCCCGAGCCTTCCACATCATTCAACTCATTGGATTTATTTGATGTGGGCTTCTTTTCAATTGGCATGTATGCTTTACCCAATTCATCTTCTTCCTCTTCATCGCCCGACCCTTCCATTGGTTGATCGCCCATCATTAACTCGTTCTCATCTTGATCTGCATTCCAACCTTGTTTTTCTTGCTCACAAATGTGTGCCTGCTTTACTTGCAACCATGATTGACCCTTCACTTCAACAGGATAACTGCACTTGACTGGATGTTCCATGAAAACATGATGCTGTTGTAACCAATTACGTACCTCTAAGGTTTCACATGAGCAATTTATTTGATTATGGCTTAACTCCAATGTGTGTAAGTTCTTGAAGTTGGTGAACTCAATTGGCAAGTAAGTGATGTCGTTGTGTTGTAAGTTTAAGACCTGCAAATGATGTGGCAGCTTTAAAAGCTTTCCTGAGGTTATGCGATTGCCTTTCAAGTTCAATTTCTTAATACGGCGACCCAAATGGCCGATTTCATGCAATTCGTTGTGCGACAAGTCGATCGAAGTCAAATCGTGTAACTTATCCAAAGAATGCGAGAGACGTGCCAGACGAAGATATGATAAGTCAATGGAATGTATGGGCAGTGTGGTCTGTAGAGGTGCCTTAGTCTTCAGACCATTCAAGCTCTTACATTTCGCATGCAGAAACGTGTGTTGTGTGTTGGGTGGTATCACACATTGGCAGTCTTCGGGGCAGTTGAAATTGTCATCAGCCTGTGTCTCAGCTGAAGTAGTAGAGAAAGTGCAGAGCAGTAGTGCAGCTAAAGCTACGAACACCTTCTGATTCGGACGTAGCATTTCGTTATATGAAACGGAAGGTCGGTGTTCTGTTGAAATAGTTGATGTATTGACGTTTATATTTACAAAATATCAATGCTCTCCTCTTATGATGTGGACGAGTATCAACTGGAAAAATAATCAAAAAAAAATAAAAAATACATTAGTAAATTATATTCAACCTATTTTTCTATTTAATTATATAAACACACATTTTTAAGCGAACCTAAAGCTACAATGGCAAAAGTCTGACTAAGCATAGCCGAAAAAAACTATATGAAGAATTGTTGTAGTGTCGCAATTCTACTCGTGAATAACGTCATACCTTATCGCCCATCGATTATGCACCAAACTTGTGTTGGCAACTTATTCACTTATCAAGTGTCAACTCACTTATCGGTGATAAATTCGATATCTCCCACTTTCGAACACTCGTAATTGATTTTACTTTTCCATTTCAACTTTATTTTCGCACTTTTTTGTGCTTGTGTGTGTGTGTCGCCTCGATTTTGAAGAGCCACTTTTCGCACTAACAATGACATCAGATTTTGTTAATTGTTCTTGTGATTCGGATTCGGATTATTTTTATGCAAAAAAGTAAAACAAACTCTGACGTAAGACTTATGTTAACCGGCTTTAGTGACTCAGTCACACTAAATGCGGCTTAATGATCTACAGTCTACAAACCCACAGATATTTCCATATTTTATTCATTTCTTATGACTTGCAAATGAAATACAATTGATTTCATTGTCTGTCGCTAATGCAATAATTAATTTTTTAAATAATACTTTTAAGCATGAAGAGAGAGGGGATTACTAAATACAATTCGAAAATGAAACAAAGGAATTTGGGAGAATACTGATCACTATCTATTACTTCTCCTAGATATGTAGTGATTTTAACAGTATATATAATATTATTGTTATTTACCTAGTCAAATATATATATATGATATTATTACATCTGAATATGATATTCAGCTTCGTTATACTAATATCGATAAACCAAATGTAATAGTCTCTATTTTCATCATAAATGGGTTTAACTAGTTAGTACTATGTAGGACATTAGATCCTGAGCAATTGTTTCATTGAATAAGTGCGGTAAAAGCGTTATACTTTATAATTTTATAATAATAGAAAAATTAAAATAAATTGTAAGGCTAATTGGTTAAATTGAATATAATAAAATTAGGCAGAAAATAAAATAATATTATATAAAAAACAAAATAATAATAATAAATTAAATAATATTATACAAAGCTTAAATAAATTAAATTAAATTAAATAAAAAAATATAAATTAATATAAAATAAAACACAATCAAATAATGTAAAATAAATTTAAAAAAAATTATAATTATAATTATAATAATTATATATTATAATTATAAAGTACATTATTTTAAAATATGATATTGTAATATAATAGCCTCCTTGTGTATGAAATAAAATAAAATAAAGAAAAATTAAGTAAATTAGAAATAAAATAATTATAATATAATGCAATATAAAATAACATTACAAAACAAAATAAAATAACACAAAAAAAAATAAATCTATATTTTTTATATATAATAAAATAAAATAAAATAAAATAAAATTAAATAAAATAGAATATAGCAAATAAAATAAAATAAAATAAAATAATATATGATTAAACATATAATAAAATTAATAAAATAACATAAACTAAAATAAAACAAACTACAATAAATTAATATAATACAAAGTTAAATGTAATTAACTAAACTAAAATAAAATAAAATAAAATAAAATAAAATAAAATAAAATAAAATAAAA